GCCGGTGTCTCACCACCCTCACAGTGAAGAACTTCTCCCTATTACCCTTCATCCTATCGCTACACGCCCTTGTAAAAATTCCTCATCCAGCTTTCTTGTAGGCCTTCTCTTCTCCAGAATGAACAATTAAATGAACCATTAAATGTTGGAAGCACATATGAAGATAGCAGGTGTCCGACTAGCATAGTGCCCACATGGCAGCCCAGCGCCATCATCTCAGCCACCATGGTATCCTTGCTGCCCTGGCTAGGAGGCCTCTTCACAGGGAAGCCGGGAAGGGCACAGACATGTTACAAAAGGATTTAAATTCAAGAAGCTTTAAACTTGTAACAGCTCTGGTTTCCATCCTTCAGCTTACAGCTTTCACCTGCCCAGACCCAGCAGCTTGCAGTTCAAGGGATATTGGTGCAGTGGCCAAGACCTGGGGTGAGGGAGTTCTGCAGCTACAGCAGGAGCAGGTACCCCAGGCACTGCAGCGCAAACACATTGGAGGCATCAAGGCACTGAAATCAGCAGTCAGAGACATGGTGCTGCTGGGTGTCACACGAACACATCTGCCCATGTCCTCAGCACAGCTTTCAGCAGAGGAAGGACAGTTACTGCAGGGGACAAACTTGGGAGTGTTGCATGCAGTTTTAGTTTTACTGGAACAGATCTGGAGGAGACACTGCAGCCGGTGTCAGTCACTATAAATGAAAGCAGAGCAGGACTCAGGAGACCACAGCCACCCCTCTGCCCAGGGCAGCAATTCATACTAGCATGAAGGAAAGGGAAAACCAGGGTGTTCTGATACAGGAGTATTTGTCACTGGTGTCCCAGGGTAGATAAGAACAGAAAGGACAAGAACCCAGAGCCAATGTGCTGGTCACAGTAGATCTAGCGCATTTACAGCCCCCTTACAGACCGCCTTCCCTGCCCCATCACCACTTGAGAGGCTGCTGCTGGCAGATGACCGGAGCTGAGAGCAAGTGAGGACAGTGGACTGCCGGGCATTGACCTCCAGCAAGAACAGGAAGGCCAGAGACTTTCCGCCTACAACAGCAAAAGCACGTGGATCATGGAGGTGCCACAAGCATCCCTGCCCTGGAATAATCAGGCAGAGGCCATGGCAGCAGGGACACGGTAGCCCACCCTCCTCCTCCCAGTGCAAGGTCAGGCTAGTAGGAGGCAGGTCAGATTTAAAAACTCAAAGAAAGGCTAAATTCACTAGCAGGAAGCAGGGCAGGCTTTAAAACCCAAAGAAAGGTTAAATGCCCAAGCTGCTGCGTAGTGCAAAGGGGATGCTGGAAGATGCTTTGATAAATACTTGTTTTGTAAGGCTTTATCTGAAGGCCATGCACACACACACATGTGCTCACCGTCTTGCTGGGGATTACCCTATAACCAGGGTTGTTTTTCCCCTATGCTATCCAGAGCAGAGGTACATCACAGGGCCATTAATCTTTGTGCTGCATTGACCCAAATGTTCAGTGTTACCCTGCAGCTGCTTCCCACAATAGCCTTCCAGGTAGCCTGGCCACACTCCGCTTTGTCAGCAGGATGGGCTCCAGGACTCAGACAGCAGACCAACCCGGGGGTGGCCAGAGGGTGAGCCTGAAGCAAGCTGCTCCCATCTCACACAGATTCAGTGCTCAACAGCACAAGGCCATGGTCAATCCCACACATCCAGCAGCAGCTCTTGGAGACTGCAACCACGTGCCTCGCATTGTCCAGGGTTGTGCTATCAATTGAGCCCCAGCAACAGGGATCTTTGGTTGAAAAGAGACTCAACTTTGAAGAGGTTGCTTCTTACAGTTAAGAGTTATGGATGTTAGGTAGCAAAGGACATTGGACAGCAGATAAATTCACATACTCCAGTTCATGATTTGTGGGATTTTAACAGACTATCACTTGGAAAGGTAAACCACCCATGAGGGTTTTTTTTTAAAATTAAAGTTTCACATTGTTTTCCATTAAACTCTCCTGAAACCAACCCGATTTCTTCTCTTCCCTACTAGTATCACCCATAACAACCTCCGAAAACCAAAAAAAATAAGGTGACCCACACAGGTGGCCCTAGGTCAGCCCAGTCTTTTCACAGTTAAGGCTGCCAAGGGCAATTGGGTTGAAGCCTGGAAGAGCAGCCAGCTGTGTTTCTGCAGCACTAATTCTGTACTGCCAAATCAGACTGAAAAAGCAGCAAATACAACTTCCTGTGCTAATACAAGAAATTCTGGGTGGTTCCTCCATACCACAGGCCAGTGAGCAGACACGGGCCCAGAAGCAGCATCTCCCAGCATTTGCCCAACCCTTCTTGGCAGGCAGCTGAGCATTAACTGACCACAAGTCCTTCACTGCAAGTTTGTGACCCTGGCTGCACACCAGGCCTGGTTTACCTCCATGATATCAGTTCATTTAATATCCAGACAACACTAATTACTAGCAGACATTTCCAGAGCTATTCTTATGAAGTGGAGGAGCTAGGATGAGGTCATGAAGGTGCAGTTGGCATGTCCAGTAACACAATGGGGGAAAATAACCCTGGGATGGCCTCCAGCTGGCCTGACATCTCTCCAAGGAGAGACCCTTTGGATGCACAGCTCTGCAAATCCCACCAGCCTCACAGCCAGAAATGGATCACAGGGCAGAGACCAGAAGGAGGTTATAACAACTTTGCTAGGCAAGTGCACAGCTATTGGGATGTCCCTGGCTGCTGAGAATAGCAACAAGTATGTGCACAAGTGAAACAGCTCTTTAAAGAAAGCTGGTGGGTGTGTGACTTCCCCTTTGCTCAGCAGCAACCTCATTGAGATTTATGCTGCACAAATTGATGACAGGAGCATACCCTTGGTGACAAACAGAACTTCAATGACACCTCAAGTGAGCAGCCTGTTAAAAGTTCCCACAGCAAGAAGAAAGCTGCCCGAGAAGATAGACTGTACATTCCTCCCTCAACTTGTCTTCCAGCAAGGACAGGAAGCTGCCACAGGGTCTCAGAGCAGCAGAGAAGCTGGGTTTATTCTGCTGCTCATTTCGCCACCCTGTGGACTACAGCCACCTGCACAACCCACCTGTTACAGGGAAGCTCTGCACAGCACACCCATGGTGTTAGCTGCAGCTGTGCTACACTAGTACATTTGCATGCAGCTGTGCTTGCAAGCATGAAGAGGATTTAAATTAGCAGCAGAATCACACAGCTTGAAGCATGAGCCAAGATAAATCCAGCTTCCTAAACCCATAGCCTCAAGGCCCTTTATTTCCAGCAGCTTCTGTCCCAGCACTGGGCCATGTTACTCCCAGAAAACCTCTCTGGAATTCCTACGCTCTTTCAGCAGCCTTGCTCAGGAAGTTTCAAGGCTCATTTTAATTCCAATATGAATTCCCTCAACTATTTTAAGGCCCATGCTCACCATCCCACCCACAGATGGCACACAGGCTAAATCCCCTTCCATGCCATCACCATTTACGTATCTCAATGTTTACATTGCCCTTCCTCTAGGCTGAGCTGCCTCAGTTCCTTCCACTGCTCCCACACCTCAGGCATCCCTGCTTGCTCCCCACAGGCTATCTCAGGAGAAGCTTCACCAGTTCAGGATTAGTGACAGGAGCTATGGCCATGCCACACTCCCAGCTCCACATTAACACCAGTCACTGGTGCTCAGAGTCCTCTGCCAAGCACTGCTCTCTTGCTTCCCAGTGCTCCTGCCCAAGTGCAGCATTGGCAGCTCTCTGCAGAATTGCAGGGTATTTACTTTCACATTTGCCCAGTGTCCTCAGCTGTATTCACAGCTTCCCTCCACCCCAATGGCCAAGAGAGGTATGCATGTCACTAAGCCATTAAGGAAACATTCTCTAAGGCCCAGGAGCCTCACTGCATGTGATACCTGCAGAATTACCAGCTTCAAGACATCCATGGCCTTTGTGCCAGCAGCTTTCAGTGAGCAAACACAAACTACAAGCTATCGAAGGCACTTTAAATGCTAAAGGTTGCTCAAGAACACAATTAGGCAAGGGGCAGAGTTTAAAGCTGTGCAAGCATCTTTTCCCCTCCTACCCCAACTCATGTATCATGATTTTTCAATAAAAACAAGGTAAAAGCACATCCTGTGCTTTGCACAGGTAAGTTTTCAGATTGCTATACAGTGCATACAAGTATGGATGTAAATGCCTGCAAATTTTATTGGAATCAAAGCCCTTAACCATATCTGAAATTAAAGGGAACACAAAGTAGTAATACAAGAGTTGCTCTGGCATGAGGATGCATCAAAGTTTGAATACAGGCATTAGACTGCTTTAACTTTGCATCCAAAAGCAGTGAAGAAGTTTACATCTTGCATAAATTCTTACTAGATAGAGCTGAACATGCTTACTCTTCTCCCATGATTTGGCAGGGCAGGGGGAAATTAAGCCTTGAGTTTAAACTATCTGAATTTGGCAACATGAAATTTAGCCTGCAACTCCACTGAGGTAATCAAGGACCTTATCAAGAGGTCACCATCTTACAGTCCTCCACTTTGTCCAACAAGGAAATTGCACAATACATCCTTCATAAGAAACTATTTACACAGAAATTTTAAACTATTGTTGAAGCAACTTAACAGATCTTTCCTAAAAGTCTGCTAATGCATATCTAGCAATTTTTTTTGAGATCCTACACTCAGTGTAATTTAAATAGCATTTGAAACATTCCAACAGGAATCACATTGCACAGAAGCAGAAATTTGCTTCTCTAATTTTTGCACACCTGCTTAGAGCCTGTGCATTTAGTGCACAAGTTTACAATGCCAAGCCTCTACATAGGTACCTAATAAATGCTACGAAACAACATTCTTTGGGATGAGGGCAAGCATCTTTTCATCTCTAGGCTGTGATGACTTAAGGCTTCTTGCAGCTCCGTTTGCTTGGGCAATGAAAGCCAGAGAAAGTGCCATCCACCTTCACTCCTGGTTTGGAGTTGGTATCCAATTTGCTCTGGTAGACTAAAGCCCACTGCAGTTTCAGACAAGTAGACTGGTGACAAGTCAGTTGCGGGTCACTCTGGGCCCTTCCGGAAGAAGAGATGCAAAGAAAGTCTTGAAAAAAACCCATGCTGTGCTCATAAATGAAGGGTTAGCCTGCTGCAGTTCTTGTAAAACTTGTCCCTCATCAGGAGACGCCTCGGATTCATCTGCTCTGCCTCCATTTGCCCCCTGCCAAAATAAAGGATATTTGGTAAATGAGATAAATTCAGAAATGCATTAGAAGAATCAGGTGTCAAACAGCATGTTTTGTTACTCAGATGTCACTGTCAGAATATAAAAAGCTTGCAATTATCCCCAGACAACCAAAGTCAAACACTAGTATTACTGGTTAACCTACACTGCATATCCAAGAACACCGTTAAGAACAGACATGAAGCACCAGATCATGTAAACTATGTACTTACAACTTATTAACTTTCACTGACATCAACCAGAAGCCTCAGCTTGAAATGCAAGACTCAGATTGCTTATATACTCAAATTGTGCCACTGAGGTCTAAACCCCATCTTCAGTAACAGAATCTGCTCAGCCTGTGGCAGGCCACTCTCCACTGCAACATGCTAAAAGGACAGAAGCAACTAAAAGATAACATTCAGCCTGAAATATTTTGTAGAGGAATTTGCTACACTAAGGAGGACTCAGGCTGCATCAATTAGTCCCCCATGGAAGACAGTTTCTGAGAAAAGTTTAGTGAGAAGTTTTTGCTACATGTAATTAGTACACTGAAAGTGAAACTTCAGGGTTTCACGCTCATGGTTTAAAAAAATAGCAAGACAATACCTGTAAGTTATTGTTCTGGTCCTGGTTTATAGCAGCTTGAGGAGGAACATTGCCTGGAACTGGTCTTTGTCTAAATGGAAGCCATCCAACCTGATGCCTGGGGAAGACAACAGATTTTTATCAATACTGCTTAAACATTACTCCTTCCTGTTACACCAACACAGTTTAAGTAACATCTGACTGCTCAGAGCTGCAGACAGGGGGTTCAGCATATCAAAGTCTCTCTGCCCTGACCCAGTAAGTACCTTCAAAGCCTCCTGTCAGCAGCAAACCATGAGGTAAGAGGGGAAGATCGAGCATCTGCTCACATTCAAAACAAACAGCACTGTGTCCAGGTTCGTATCCAGCATGCTGCTAGAGGTACAAAGAGCCTGCTTGTTTACCACATTATGGATACCCCTGGGTAGCTTCTGTGTTCACCCTAGGAAAGGGCACAACGCAGGACACGCAAAACAGCCTTATCTTACCAAAATGTAACAGGCCATATAGACCTTCTTTGGAGGTCTGTATCTCTACAGCACCTGCTCTTTGTAACCCACAATATCGGGTGTTTGAAGTTACACTTTAGAATTATCAATAGTAAAATTTAAGACTTAATAAAGCCATTAAACTTCACTCTCCAAGTCTGCACAGAGGTTGGAAGAGCTGATCATTTGAGCTGCTCCAGTTTCAACTCCTAGATCTACCAACAGGAATTCAGAGACCAATGTCACTTGTTTCACTGGTGAGCAAAGAATCTGAGAGGACATATTATCCTTCTCAGACAAGACATCCCAAGCACATCTGCTGAGGGCCCATTATCTTTATTGTGTTTCTAAGATTTATCCCCCCCACCCCTAGCAAGGCTCAAAGGCAATTCAGAACACTGCATGCAGTTTAGCTTGGTCTGCTCTCCAGAGAGAGAACACGCAGCAGAAAAACCTGCATGGGTACATGACTTCAATAGCAGGTGTGACTTCAAACCCTTGTTTCCCCAACAAGCCACTGTCATTTACTACACTGAACCTACAGGTCCATCTGCTCTACACTGCCAAGCTGCTGGGGCTCTAAACTGAGAGCTGCTTTGGCTTCAAGTAGTTTTCTAAAAAAAGAAAGCCAGTCACACCAGGAGCATTAGTACAAAAACCAGGTAAGATTACCCATTATTCATTTAATCCAGGCATAGGCTATACATCTGTTTTTGCTAAATAGCAAGTTGTACCAGGATAGAGGAGTGGTTTACCCTTTCCAGGTACAAAAGTCACATGAAGTTTAACTGCCAGAAAGCTGCCCACAGTACAAAGCTCAGTACTGCAGTGAAACATTTCTGAATACAACAGTAGATATTAATGCCATACACTTACAGATACATCAGAAAAGTGCCACCCATGACCAGGAAGAATCTGCTGACACTGGAGTAGAAATAGACAATGTTGACAAAAACATAGAAGAGTGTTGCTGAGTAGAGCCAGTCCAGCCAATCTCGATTGCCACCCTCCTCCTCTTCCTCCATGAGGGGACCCCCTTGGGCATTCATCCGCAAGTTCCGGTTGGCCACTGCGTTAACCTGGGCAGCAGCATCCTGGTTTCCAGGCTGATTTTGTGCAGGAAATGGGTCTGGGAGAGGAGCTGGAGGTGTCACTGGTGCCACTGGTATCTCCTGAGAACGTTGTGCGTGGGATGGGTCAGTAGATGCAGCAGTAGAAGCCAAGCTGAAACCAGAGAACAGAAAGTACAAAATAAGGCTTAATCAAACCCTTCCACAAAACGCAGGCCCTGAAAATTTGTCAGTCTTTAAGTACAGAGTCAGATCACATGCAAGTAGAAAGCATCAAGTTTAGAGGCCACAGAAGTTTTAGTTCTTCCCATGACAACAGTTGCATAGTGGCTTCAGCAAGTCAAACCAGGCACCTTTCACTTCACGAACAAGTTTCAGTACTTTGCAAAAAACTTTAGAGCAATCTAAAGGTGATCTAGAAGGCTTCTGCAAGTCTCCGCTTCCATGTGCTACTTTAAGCAGTCAAAAAAATGGTGAAGAGCTAAGGCTCAGCAGCCAGATCACATTTACTCAACAGACAACTACCCTCCCCAGTCAAAAGTCAGATCTGCAATTTGCAAGACTCAAAACCACTGGCCTGAACAGTAGGCCATGCACCACATGAGGTACGTTCCCACACCATTCAGCCTAAGTTACCACAAAAAAAAAGTCTCCCACCCATCATCAAAAGGGGAAGAACTGCCAGAAATTCCCTTTCCTTGCAGTAGTTTCTACTTCCTACTGGTAGCCCTGGACAGAAAACTTACTATTGCATGTAGTATTGTCTTGCATAAACCTGCTGAAACCAGGACATCTGCAGCATGCTGTAGGTTGTATAAGCAGAGAAGCCAGAAGCCACACTTTGGAAGGGACCCTGAGTTGTTTCCAGCCTTGGTCAAGATTTGAACACATTCGTTAGCAAATACTGGACAAACTGCAACAGTCATTTATTACAGGACAATGTAAACAGCCTCTGCCATTTTGTGCACCCAAATGCAAAATTAATTCTTCCCTCTAGAGTATTAAAGACATCTCTTTACCCAAATGAGCAAAGTGAAGATTTCCAACTAACAGCAGTGCCTTTTCATTTAGCTTCTTCCATGCCCACTAAAGATTTTCCACATAACCTCATCATCCTTGGCCCATGTTCTATGGGCTTAAGGCAGCATGTGTGACATGAGGAGCTGATAACCAACACAAAGCCAACATTTTAAAAAAATCTTAGTGATATACATAAAAATTGTATTTACCCATTACTGGTTTCTGCTGAAGACTGGCCACCAGAAGAGCATCTCAGTCTTTCATCATTTGAGGAAGATCCAGATGGTTCTTGACTAGCTTCTGACATTAACCCTAGCTGATCAGCTTTAACCTAGGGACCACAACGCAGTCAGTGAGGTTTATTCAGGACACTCCACAAGGCTCATCTTTGGCTTCCTCTCCACAGGCTGAGTCATTAACAAGAGCAGCTGAAGTGTCTTC